TCTAGAGATTCATCCAATGAACGTCAAGAAAATGTTCTTGAATGGTGACCTAGATGAAGAGTCTATATGGAATAATCTGAAGGATTTATATTACCAGGCCATAAGGGTAAGATATGTAACTTAGTTAAATCCCTATATAGACTTAAGCAAACACCAAAGCGATGGCACTTAAAACTCGATAATACCATGTGTCGAATGGATTCAAATATAATGAGTGCAATAAATGTGTTTATTACAAATGAGATTCTAGCAGTTTTGTGTTGGTTTTCCTTTACGTTGACAATTTGTTGATCATGGGCAATGATCAAATACTCATTGTTTGGACGATATAGATGTTGAAAGGAAATTTTGATACAAAAGATTTACGGTTGCCTGATATAATCCTCGGCATCAAAATAATGAGACACCCAGAAGGAATCATCCTGACACAATCCCACTATGTGTAAAAAATATTGACTAAGTTTGGTGCCAATGATAGGCCAACATTCTATCAGGGTGATCCTATTGCTCAAGAAATTATCAGGGTGATCCTATAGCTCAAGAAGAATACACAAGGATAATTGAAAGTTTTATGTTCTTAACGAACTGTATTTGTCTTGAACTTGCATACTCGGTAAGCAAAACTAAGTAGATATATTAGCAATCAGAGCAAAGATCATTGGACAACTATTGTAAAGTTTCTAAGGTATATAAAACATACTTAAAACTTAGAGCTATGTTATTCAAAAAATCCTCAAATGCTTGAAGAATACTCCGATGCCGAGTGAATATCGGATCAAAGTGACTCATTTCCTATGAGTGGATATATGTTCACGATTGAAAGAGATGGTGCCATTGAAATTGACTAAGTAGACGTGTATAGTCTGATCCTCTAAGGAATCCAAGTTTTTCACTTTAAACAACGCAATAGAGGAAACCGAATGGTTTCGAAAATTACTATGAGAGATTCCTAACCATGATTACTAGAGATACCACAAACTTGGCTCAATGGAAAAATCAAACGACATAAGTTCACGTAGAAATACTTGGAAAACAAGTCTTCCGTCCTTCCTTAAGAAAGAAAAGAGCGAGAAATGAGTGTTGATACTCTTGTTAGTGGTGAAGGCTAAGCATTGAGCTTTTAATGACTCTCTACCAACTATAGAGAAAGTATGTCATGGTACTCTTGGAAGGTTATTTATCCAAATGCAAAGTGGGGACCGTTTCAAGTGAAACACTTGTGAGGACAAAAGTGTTTTCTATGACTCGAAATGGAAACAAACGAGAGAATAGGCTAGAGATGAGGTGTTATTGTTTCGATAATGTTGTCTAGGTGTACGATGTGGCGGAATAGTTCAATACGAAGTTCACTAGCTTGTTTGTATGCCCGACGGTATCAAAAAAAGAAAATTCAAAACCAAAAATTATATTTTCCTATGTGATAACATCTTTTGGAGGATAGTTGTGCCCTTGCAACCTAACCATTGACTATTTCAACTCATGTGAGAGATTATAGGAATTCTCATTTTGAGAATTCAAAAAATTAAATAATGATTAAACATTTAGCCTATTTTCAAAAATGAATTATGATAAATGAAAAATAGATGAGGTGATTATCCATGTCACATAATTATATGTGAATTGAGTTGCAAATTTGGATAAGACATCGGATCAAGTCGGTGAATTCATGAGTTAGATAAAGAAATCCGAAAAAAGTTATATCCACATTAAACGGATACGACATATCTTATAATTAATTTTTATATCTAATGTTTGATATCATATCTAGTTAAATTTGATTCTTGATATAGTTGTTACCTAGATTATCGGTAATCATATCAAAAGAGAATCCCCAAAAGTTTGTTATGTGGAGAGTCTATAAATAGGCATGACTCCTAAATCCTAAAGCTTACACACATAAGTCTACACACTTTCATCTAGATATTCTTTTTTTCTTTTTTCGACAATCCTACCATCTTCTTGTTTACTAGACCTCTTTCTAATGGTGCTGCTTTGAGATGATATAAGTTGTTTTAACTTTGGAAGTGTTACGGATTCACATGAGCACTATCGGCCGCATTTCGCTCTGTAGAAAGAGGTCTTTCTCTACTCGATTTCATTCCATATTTTTCATTATCATCCTATATTTTCCAATATTTTTCTTATTATCTATATTAGAAAATTATGCTTTATTTTAGTATGATATATATTTTATTTAAACATATATTAAATACTATTGGAACTTTAAATTTTGATTTTTCTAAATTACTATTAAAATTTTGATTCAATTAATATTATAATATAATATTTTATTTAAAAAATAATATATTTTAATTAAAATGTATTCGTCTTGTTATACATCTTCCAACAAAGTTTAGTCTCTATATAATAAATGTCTTTTAGGTCCAGATTGATTTGAGCTTTTTTAATTGTCTACATTGCTAACTTAGTAAACAATCTGCTTCTAATTTTTAAAAAAAAATTATATACTGCTGCTAAGCTTTTTTTGAACTTTTATTTTTTTGAAAATATTATTATAAATTACCTACTATATATATTCAATTTGTTCAAATAATTCACACTAAATTCTCAAGTCCTATTAAAGTCCTATATACTCATTATGCTTGTGAGTACAATGACTCGTCTATTTTACGGTTACTTTCTAGACAGAGTACCCTAGTCCAACATTCATGTTTTTATACATCTTAACAAAATAGGATGAAAAAATGTGAACACCGTCACATTCTAGATATTGTTCTTGTTTTCCTCATTTCTTCCTAGTGCTCTGATGCTTTTGGGGGGGATGGGAAAATAACCATGATTGTTGTTTATCCTATTAATAGATTACCCTTGTTTGTTCTTTGTAGCGTTAGTCCCTTCAAGATATTATACGATAAGCTCCCTGATTATAATATATTATATCCATTTAGCTGTGTGTAATTTTTTCTTCTTCTTCCCTATGAGCGGACAAAGCTTCAACTTAGGACTTATTTATGTTGTTTTTTGGAATATGGGGTAGAACACAAAGTCTTTAGGTATTGAGATCTTATCTCTAATAGGTTATGTATCTCATGTCACGTCACGTTATAGGAACACACTCGTTTCTCCACCTTATCTAAATTTAGGATACCGTTTAACTCGTCTTCTTTGTTCTTTTCTTGTCCTCTATCTAATATCTTTTTGGACACTGTCATCTTCTCTCCATAAAAAATCACTGATGGTTTGCCTTGCGACCGCCTTCTAAAAGGATCCCTTGGGTTTCCTAAATCGATGCCTCCATCTAAGTCCCCTCACTTATCACTGTCATTTGACCAATGTAAGTAGACCTCTCGCTCACCTCATAGACTATCATTGTTATTATTCTATTTTATCTCATCGCGAGCGTAGGTTATTTTATAGATATAATATATTTGCCTTCTAGTATGAAACCCATTGGATGAAAATGGATTTTTAAGATCAAAACAAATCCCGACAGTTCCATTGAGGCCACAAGGCTTATTGGTTGCTAAAGGTTACTCACAAAAATATGAGATCGACTGTGAGACAACTTTTCTCTAGTTACTCGACTCGCTAATCTTCGTTATCTTCTTTCTATTGTTGTTGTTCGTTATTGGTCTTTTTTTAGTTAGATATAAAAACTGTCTTTTAGCATGGTACTCTTTCTAAGGAAGTTTTATGGCTCTTAATCCAGGTTTCTCATCTTTGGGAAGGTTTTCCGATTACACCAAACTTTAAATGGGTTGAAACAGGCCTCTCGCATCAGGTATGCCATATTTACTACTGCCTTATTAAGTTTGATTTTGCTATGAATTGTCACGATTTTGAATTGTTCCTTTGTCGTTCGTCTTAAAGGATTTTCATTCTCTTGCTTCATGTCGATAATATGGTCTTCATGGGGATGATGCTTTTGGTATTTATAATCTATAAACATATCTACGCCAACACTTTGAGATGAAGAGTTTGGGTCCACTTTGCTATTTTTTGTGACTTGAAGTTTATGATTCTCAAGATCATTTTTATCTGTCTTAGGCTACGTATACTTTTAAACTTATTTTTCAAGTTGCCCTTACTGATAGTCCGATAGCCTCTACACCACTTTCCCATGACATTCGATTTACTCCTTATGATGATTATCTTTTCGACGATCCTACATTATATCGTTAGCTTGTTAGAACTTTAATCTATTTGAATGTCACTCGACCCGATATAACTAACGAAGTTCATATAGTGAGTCAATTCATGAATACTACGAGGACCTCTCATTGCTCCGATCGTTTATATATTCTTCGTTATGTAAAAGATACTATCTTATACGGGTTATACTTCTCAACTACCGATTGTTGTTCAGCTACTAGTTTCTACTTTTATTTGGGTGATTCTCTTCTCTTAGCATAGCAAAAAACGAAGTTTGTTTTTTTGGTCAAGTGATGAGTGCCTCAACCATCTTCTACCACTCTTAAATTAACATTTGTAAATAAATGTAGTAATATTCAATGATATAAATGAAAAAAATGTATAAAAACAATTTGATATAAATAAAAAATACATATTTTATAGATAAAAAAAAACATATAAAGGATTAAAAGAATGAATATGCATAATTTTACAAAATACTATATAAATATTATCCACTATATCAATAAAAGCTACTATTTTTTTTTTCCAAAATATTTTAAAAATAACAACGAAATTAGTAAAATCTCAGAATTCACAAAAACAATAGAGAAAAATTCACAAAAAAGAATTTAAAGAGTAAAATAATCTCAACCTTAGTATGTCAAATTTGGAATCATAAAATTAAAAATCTATTCACACAATGCGAAACGGACTCTAGAAAAACAATTTGTAGAATTCAACATTATCTATTTAATTAATAGTTTTATATTACATATTATATTATAATTACATCACAAGTATTACAAATTGCATATAGAATAATATATACGATTATAAATATATATATATATATATGTATGCATTTGTGTGTGGATATCATAATTACAAATTGCATAAAATTAATTAATTTCTGGTGTCTCAGTCGCCTGCTTCCACTTACATCCATTCTTCCCCTTTCCACTTATTATCAACGCCACTTTCAGTGTTTCCCCCAATTCCTCTAGGGATTCGTAATTCGTTATCCATTCGCAGCCATGGATTTCCTCCTCCATTGATTTGATTGCTCCGTATATGGATTCGAGATTGCAATTAGTCCGCAGAGAGGAACCGCTGTACGGATCTAAATCGAAACCGAAATCGACATTGACATCCAAGTCCAAATCAAAATCGAGGAAGCTAAACGACGATGGCGGCGGCGGCGCGTACGAGACGGTTTGGGAGTGCGTGATTCCGTACGTGGAGGATCCGCGTGACAGGGAGGCGGTATCGACGGTGTGCAAGCGATGGTACGAAATCGACGCCATCACGCGGAAGCACGTGACCATGGCGCTCTGCTACACGGCGACGCCGGAGCGGCTTTCGCGGCGGTTCCCTCACCTCGAGTCGCTCAAGCTCAAGGGGAAGCCACGCGCCGCCATGTTTAACCTAATCCCCGAGGATTGGGGCGGCTACGTCGCCGCCTGGGTCGATGAAATAGTTCGTTCTTACAAAAATATGAAGGTTCTCCACTTCCGGCGCATGATTGTCCGAGATTCCGATCTACAGATCCTCGCCACCGCCGCCGGGAAGGTTCTAGAAGTCCTCCGGCTCGATAAATGCTCCGGTTTCTCCACCGACGGCCTCCTCCACATCGGACGCTCCTGCAGGTACCTACCTCAGCTTAATTCCTAAATTAATCTCGAAATTTAATTGCACTTCATTTATTGATTTGCTTATTTTGTTGCTTTCTGAGATTGCATAACTTGTGTTTGGATTGGTTAATGTAGTTGGTGTTTGTCTGGATTCAACCAATTTCGGGGTGGGGTGGGGTGGGGTGGGGTGGGGTGTGGTGGGGAGGGTTTCTTAATTAAATTCGAAGCCATGTCCTTCCTATTTCAGGAAAACTCAAGTTTGACTGACCCTTGTTTTCTTCAATTTTTTCTTACTTGAGCTCTAATTTTGCCAAAAACTTTGTTTGCTTTTCTATCCATTTTGGTTTTAGTTTTGGTTTTCTTGATTGATTTTTCACTGGTTTAATATGTTGTGTTCTTACCTTACCTTAGCCTTGTTCGAAGGAGATGGTTTTATTTTAGAATTGATGGTTTAGATCTTTTTTTCGATTGGTGTCGCTAGCGTAGACTTTTTTTATTTTTCTTTTATTTTTTATAGTTTCGTAAATGGGAAAGGATGAGGAAAAGGAGAAGAGTTTGAATGCATTGGTAGGTCTAAATTGAACTGTGAAGTTAATTTGGTTTTTTTCGCCGTGGCTTTTAGCCTCTCTTTTTATTATTTAAATTCTTTTTTTTCTTAAAAATACTAAATTAAATAATTTTTTTTTATATTATAATACAAATTTATTACATTTAAACTATAACATCAAACAAAGGATCATATTTAATTTTTGTGTCATTATAGTTAACATTAAAAATATTTTTATATTTGTAAAAAAATTTGTACAAATATTCTATTATATTAGTATTATAAGATACTAATGGAAAGTATTTTTGTAATTTTTTATTAATTTGTACTATGTTTTGATATAATAATTAAAATTCAAATATCATATATATATATATATAAGTAAATGAGACACTCAAGGTAGTAGTATTTGAATGTAAAAATGAACTAGGTAAAAAATAAAATGAATATGCTATAAAAAAATTATTAAACAATTAATAATAAAATAGTTGGATAACTAAAAAAATAGTAAGGAATTAGTTATTATTTATTAAAGTATCAAGTAATAAAATTGTAGTTAGATAAAATTATTTACTATAAATTGATTATGAATAAATTTAACGGAAAAAAAATGATATAATTATTCCTAATGTAATGAATACATATTTCAATTTTGAGTATTAATATATTAATAAACCAAACCAAATAAATTTTGGTTTGTTCAGTTTTAAACCTTCCTTAGGTTTAGTTTAATTTTGGAAAATTTTGATTATGATTTTATTTTTACATACAGAAAATAAAAATTTAAAATTCGAGCCTTATGCATCCATACATGCCTTGGGAAGTAAAACAATAAATAAGCGAATAATTATTTATTTGGGGTATGGTTTGTTGGGTCAAGAATTTCTTGGAACTGAAACTTTCAATCGGCTTATGTTGGTTTTGCATCTTTAGATGAATAAATATATATATATATATATATATATATATTTTAGATATGAAATTTTAAATTGATAATATAAAAATAATATTTTATGTTTTAAATTGTTATAAATAAAATATATATTGTGTTAATATGTTTATATATTGTATATTTTAATAAAATTTATAGAAATTTGTAATATAAAAAAAGGGTAAATTGTGTCCCGTAACTGGACCCCTTTCTCATTTTAGTCCTGTAAGTGGAGCCTGTCGCAACCTAGTTCTATAAGTGAAAAATTTTCGCGGTTTTAGTCCTCCGGCGCCGGAGACGCCCGCGTGGCTCGCCGGAGGTGACGTGTCTTCCAGGTGTCCCGCCAGGTCAGCGGGCACGTGGATTTATTTATTTTTTTCATTTTTTTAATTGGACCAAATAAAAAAATACAAATAAAATTTAAAATAAATTAAAAATAAGTTTTTAAAAAAATTTATAAAAATAAAAAATCCACTTGTCCGCCAGGTCAGCGACACTTGACGGACACGTCACCTCCGACGAGCCACGCGGGCATCTCCGGCGCCGGAGGACTAAAACAGCGAAAATTTTTCGCTTATGGGACTAGTTTGCGACATGCTCCACTTACGAGACTAAAATGATAAGGAGAACCAGTTACGGGACTAAAAAAACAGTGTACTCTATAAAAAAAATACAAAGTGAACAAGCGGAATATTTTTAAGTATTGAGATATGGCCGATGAGTTTTGAAAATTTATATAGGTTTGTTTGTTTTTATTTCAGGTATATGAATAATATAAAAATAACGAGTGTGTAGTAGTAATTTTTTTTTTTTTTCTGGAAAAATATGTTAGAATATGTTTTTTCTTTAAAAAAAAAACAATCCCTAAGTAACATATTGAATATTTGATATTTATATTTGGGAAACCAAATATATTTATTTAATTTAATATATATTTTTTATTTTATTATTATTAATAAATAGTGTAAAGCTTTCAAAATGTGTATGTATATATAGAGCATAAATGTTTGAACTCCAGGTTCCTCAAATTAATTTTATTTATTTATTTATTTATTTGTTACAAAAAAATGTGCCATGTTTACGCATTGCAGTGTATTTGCACCAATAAATATGTTTTTTTAGTAATATAATGAGAGCCATTAATAGATTGAACTCTGTTTTACTTATATTTTTAAAATTATTGATACATTTTTACCATAAAGGATCATATTAATATTTAGTTTTTTTTATATAAAAAATATTAAATTATTTAATATTTCTATTTTTTATTTTTTTTTTGAATTTTCACAATTTTCAAAATTCTTAATTTAAGCAAAGCTTGTCAAGTTATAATTCTCAATTCCACATTTTTTTAAGAAATTACACTTCTTCCAAAATTCCTCAATTTATAATACTCAAATTTTCATCTTTTCGAGCTTGTCAAGTTTTTTATTTTTACTTTTATTTTTTTGAACTAGTGCTTAATTAATGGACTTTGTTACTTGAAGTTTGGTTTTAAATTTGGTTTAAATAATAGTTTAGACATAATATTTTATTATTTAAAAAAAAAATTGTCATTATTGCATAGCAAAAAATTATAAAAAAAAAAAAAAACATTTTATTAATCCAGATTTTTTTGTGATCTTTTTTTTTTTTTAGATTTTTTTGTGCTATTTAGTTTTGTGGTTCCACCAATAAAACTATATTCATTTTCTATATAAAATTTTAAATCTAAACACTATTTAACCTTAAAAACAACAAAAAAGAAGAAGCAAAAACCAATAAAATACTAACCAAATACACCCAAATAATGCATATATTTTAAACTCTCTTTATTAATCCATTGGAGAAATGCAAAAATAGATAATTGGGTAAATATGTGCATGCATACCTACATCCTTTAGTTCTAAATAAGTATAACAAATAGATAAATGCTGAGGATTAAATGTTTTTATTATTTTATTTGTACAATATTCATTTATTAACATAATATAATTGTATTGAATCAACTCGATACTCTATTTATGAAACTTTTATATTCACTAGTTTTAATATTGGAAGCATTAGGTGAAAATTAAAAGTTTTGAATATAATATCTCGTATGGAAATAACTGATAGATAAAAATTTTTGAAGAGATAATTATTTTTGATTGAAAAGAAAATGGAATAAAATAAATAGACAATGAATACATATGTTTCATTCACTACTAAAAATGTTGGTACAACATGTGTTATGATGATACTTTGTAGAAGGTAAAATTGAAAAACAAGATGTGTTTAGTTGTAACTCATATTGTTTGATTTTGAATATTGACTTAATTTTGAGTAGCATATAATAATTTGCCATGTTATGATTGTAAATGTTATAGTTAGTTGAGGGGATATATATATATATATATATATTTACATATACAATATGGATAACGGTTTGATTACGGCACCATATTGATTTTATCAAATAATATCGATAAAAAGTCCAGAAAGTACTAATCAAGAATTTAAATAGCATATTATTAATATTAATATAATATAAATATAACACAAAACAAAACGAAGAACACTTACATACTTCTATGGAGTATATAACATAAGAATGATTTTGTCTAATATCATTGATTCAAAAATCCAAAAAGTACCGATTAATAATTAAGAAAGCATATGTTCTAAATCTTGATTAGTACTATCTGGAGAAATTAGCATGATACTGATTTTACCAAATTAGTATCATAATAACCTCATATGGATAGATTACAAGTATTATGAAAGTTAAAACTAAAGGATCTCAGTATTGAATATTACAATTTTGCCATTTTGCTAGGCAAATAGATTAAAAAATAATACTCCATTTGTCATTTAATAATTTATCCATTTTTTTATTTTGGTTTGTTTCATAACAAAGTATTTATTTCTTTTTTAATAATTGTACTTTCTACTTAACATTACAAATATACTTTCAACTTACAATATATTACACAAATATCATTACTTTTATATTACATCATACTAATAAGGTTATTTTAGTCTTTTATATTTTATTTATATCATATTCCAATATAATACTCCATCCATCTACCTCTAGGATCACATTTACTTTTTGCGTCATTGTACTTAACATTAAAAATATTCTTATATTTGTATAATTTTTTGAACAAATGTCATTATATTAGTATTATAAGAAACTAATAGAAGTATTTTTGCGATTTTTTCTTAATTTGTACTATGTTTTGATATAATATTTAATATTCAAATATCAAATGCAAAACTAAATGAGACCCTTGAAGTCGGACGGAGGCAGTATTAATATTTCTAAAACTCCGTAAAAAAACAAATGGATAAATAGATATGAGACGGAGGGAGTATTATTTTAATATCAAAGTGGATTATATAAAAAAATAAAGGGAATGTATTATGAAAATTTTAATGTGTGTTTGTTTGTTTGGGGGATTGGATTAGATTTCCACTATTTATCCCATTTTTTCCTCCAAAAAATATCAAATCAAACACCTATTTTTTATTTTTTATATTATACTAAAAATAAATTTTACATTCAAAACATCACATAAACACCTATTTATATCACATCATACAACTATTCAAATTCAAAATTTTTACTATTCAAATTCAAAATTTTTACTATTCAAATCACAACTTAAAATGCAAACCTTCAAACAAACACAAATAAAAAGTAATGGATTAAGTAGAAAAAGTAATAAAACTATAGATAAATAAGCTTCTTTTAATATAAATAAATTTTGTATAAATTTAAATAATTAAAAAGAACAGTAAAATTTTAATAATATATATACATATATATCTACACGCATATAAATATAGGATAGACATAAATAAACTACATTTTTAAATATATTATCATTATTATTATTATTATTATTATTATTATTATTATATTCCATTGAGCACTATATTTTCATTCAAATTTTAAGTATTTTCAACTTTTAAGGCTGTTTTAGGGTGGGACCATACCGTATATATTAAAAATTTAATAGCACATAGTATATTGTACCGAAAATACTAATATAGAAAAATACCATACAGGGTTGACTGATATCGAAAATTATCTTGTATCAAAAAATATCGTATCGATGCCATATAGAATCATTTAGTATACTCTAATTTTTTATATGCAAAAAATTATGGTATAAATATATAGATACCGTATTGATTCTTGGGAATACCATACATAATGTTGGTATCCTAAACATTGAAGTATTTACTAAAAATGACATAAAATATAGAAAATTACCATTGGTATATATTAGTATCACAACATAAGTCCCATATATATATATATTTATGACGTGGGAATCCGCAATCACTACTCAATTGTGTGGCAGGTGGACCTGAGGCGTCGGGGGTTTGAACCCATGACCTCACGGTCATAAATCCAGAAAAGTCCCATATATATTGGTATCACAACATATGACTAACTTGGATATGATAGTGTTATACCTCCGTATACATAATTTTATATTGTTATCATATTAAAAATACAGTGTTATACTGAAATATAGTATTTCAATATTTTGTCGGTACAGTGTGAATAATATACTATATTTTTTAATATTTATTTCTAGTTGTAGGCTCTGTGGTCTTTGAGATTTGGTTTTTTTTTCAACTTATTTACTATACAATCTATGCAATTTTACATGAAAATACATTATTTCTTGTTACAAAATATCACATTCAGTCTATATTTAAATGCAAAACACAAACCAAACACACCCTTACAACATAATCTATTTCTGTAAATGCTTATATCAATTGGTTATGTAGAGTTACTAACTTCTCAATTATATAACATGAAACACTAAGGGTTTGTTTACTTTGTGTTTTGTTTTTGTTTTTGAGGTTAAATAGTTGTTGAAGAATGATGTTTTGTATGTAAAATAAGTTTTATATACGATGTGTTTTTTTAAGGCCAAAATATGGCTTAATGTAGCCATTCTTCGATTTTTTCTTTTTTTAATATATATATATGTATAAATATATAGATGAAGTATAGATCGACAGCCCATCCAATGGTTTGTTCTTGCAAATGTTAAGAACTACTTGGAAATGTTAGGGTAACTCTAGACTCTAGTTGACCGACTACTTTATTGACATTTTAAGTTGTTTTAGTTTCTTGTTTTACTGCTTCAACATGCTCCTAATGGTTGAAAGATTGGATTCGAATCTTTATTTTAGCTCTGATACAATGTTGATGCATAAAGCAGTACATTTGGATTTTTGAAGTGATGAATTTTTCTTTGTGTTCATCTTGTCTCCATGTTTGCTTCTCAAATCGTCTGGCGTAAAATTTGTTTCGTGGTTTGGTATATTTGTCGTTCATTTCATTACATTCGCTTATTTGGTTTCAACCTTCCGGGAAAGTCTTAATGCACATGGATATCATCTGTTAGTAAAAACATGGTCTACATTTTACTGTGGTTATAAAGCATTCGACATACTGTGTAATCGAATTTGAAATTTCAAGAAACCTGCGTGAATTTGTCTTCTTGACTAAAAATGTTTCGATTTCGCTTTTCTGAGAACATATGTGCCCATATTTTTTTGTTGTTCTGCTCCTCCAGGAATTTGCGGATTTTGTACATGGAAGAGAGCTTAATAACCGAGAAAGATGGAAAATGGTTGCACGAGCTTGCGTCTAATAACACTGTTCTTGAGGGCTTGAACTTCTATCTCACGGATCTCAGCCAAGTCGAAGCCGAAGATCTAGAACTGATAGCTAAAAGATGTCGATCTTTGACCTCTTTAAAAATCAGCGATTGCGATCTTTCGAAACTGATTGGATTTTTCAGAGCTGCTGTGTCGTTGGAAGAGTTCTCCGGAGGCTCTTTCAGTGTGCCCCCAGGCCAAGTCGGGGAAGCCGTGTTTAACGAGCAATTGGAACCGTATTCTGCTGCCGTATTCCCGCCAAAATTGTCAAGCCTCGGCCTTACCTACCTCGGAAACACGGAACTCCCCATCATCTATCCCGTTGCTTCGAGGCTTAAAAAGTTGGATCTTCTTTGCGCTCTGCTCGACACTCAAGGGCATTGTCAGTTGCTACAAAAGTGTCCGAACTTGGAGATTCTTGAGGTACTCTTTTTATCGATCGATAAACATTGTTTCATCTTCTCGACGATAAATTTATTCGTTCAATCTGAAAACAGACGAGAAATGTGATCGGGGACAGAGGGTTGGAAGTTGTCGCCGAGTTCTGTAAGAAGATGAAGCGTCTGAGGATCGAGCGCGGCGCTGACGAGCAGGACATCGAGGACGTGGAAGGCGTGGTGTCGCAGAGAGGACTGATTGCGCTGGCGCGGGGATGTCTCGATCTCGAATACTTAGCTGTTTACGTCTCCGACATTACGAACGCTTCGTTAGAATGCATGGGGGCACACTCGAAAAATCTCCGTGACTTCCGTTTGGTGTTGCTTGACCGGGAAGAACACATAACGGACTTGCCTTTAGATAACGGGGTCCGTTCCCTTTTAACGGGGTGCCCAGAGCTTCGAAGATTTGCTTTGTATCTCCGGTCGGGGGGTTTGACGGACGTCGGGCTCGGTTATATCGGGAGATACAGCCCGAACGTGAGATGGATGCTTCTTGGTTGCGTCGGGGAGTCGGACGAGGGGCTCGTCGAATTTTCGAAAGGCTGTCCGAGCTTGCAGAAGCTCGAGATGAGGGGGTGTTGTTTTAGCGAGCGGGCACTGGCGATGGCATCGCTGCAACTGAAATCGCTGAGGTATGTATGTAGATATATTGTAGATTTATTTACTTTTTAATGACGGCTGTTATAGTGCTGAATTTAAAATTCAGTACTGTGCTGAACAACACATAGTATTACTATATATAACGCACTACATATGTTAATATAATACAAATACATCACATGAACAAAAAACACATGTTATAGTCTCAACAGCACATCGTGTGCTGTCTGATAACGTTCAGTAATATTACAGACAACACATTGTATATATGTTAATATAATATAAATACAGCACATGAACTAATAGGATTTATCATAGTCTTATACACCACGTACAAAAGTTGATTTTAGCACATGATATACTCTTATTCAACACACTTGTTATTATAAAAAAATAGCACATATCTTTATTATACACCACATATGTTGTATATAATAGTAATGTGTGCTATTTATACATATAACATGTATTGAGTTGAAAAATCAGCACGGTGTTGATTTTTTCAATTCAACACCCTAATCATCCTCTTTTCTAATTTATTAAAATATATTTAGAAGCAATATATTATATTTATGGTAGATATAGAAAAATTTGTAGGATTCTTATTTTACTATAAATTCTTATGATTAAGATAGAAAATTTCAGTCTCGTATTCTAATCTAATTGATGTGAGGATGTGGAATCGCTATTAGTTGCAATCAAGATGTGGAGAGGGTTTCAACTTAGCGTGACTTAAATTTGGTTATTTTAGATTGTGAGTCTATTGGATTTATTCGAGGTCTTCTAATTATAAGTAATAGTGAGAATTCTTGAAATTATTTTTACAAGGTACTTGTGGGTGCAAGGGTACCGGGCGTCGGGAAATGGACGGGATCTGCGGATTATGATGCGGGATAATTGGAACATCGAGCTGTTGCCGGCAAGGCAACTTGTTTATGTGGATAGTGTGGACGTGGACGGTGGGGAGACGATTGTCGAGCATCATGGGCACATACTGGGCTATTATTCCCTGGCCGGGCAGCGTAAGGATTTTCCGGCGAGCGTTACGCCGTTGAATTAGTTGTGTATGGAAGAAGTTCGTCGGAGTGTGTATAGATCAGATCATCAACGAAAAATGAAGACGTACGTTACGTGCGGGCTTAGGTAAGGTAGAAGCTAAGAACACAACTTTCTTTTGTGAATATGTTGCTGTACTTGTGATATAATCTGCATACTCTTGCTATTTTATTTTATTTTTTTTAATTTTTTTTTTTTTAGCAATTCCAATCTTTTGAATTGTTTTAATAATTTGAAAATTACTTATGATTTACCTGGTTTGAAAAGTGATTTCTTGTATAAAAACTATGACTTTTTTTTTAACGACATTATAAAAAAAATTTTTAAGGGAAGGTTATGCAGTGCTTTTAAAAATGTAAAAAATAAAAAATACAAAATCATGCAATTTTTTAGGAATTTTATGTGCAATATTTTCTAAAACTAAGATAAAATTTTGTGCAATTTTTAGATCATGGAGAATATGATGCCAATCCTCCCAAATTATAAATAGATTATAAAGAATTTTTCTATTTGGAAAATATATGATTGACTAATATTTTAAAGAAAAAAGAAATTCCAAATATATGATTGAATAATATTTTAAAGAAAAAAAATTGCAAAGCATTGTTTTGAGGGTTTTATTTTCTTCTATTACTATCTAATCGCTATCATATTTTCTTTAAAAAATACTTCATTCATCTCGTAAAATTATCTAAATTTGGTTAACTACACAAATTTAAAAATAATGATATTTAATATTAAAATAAAGTAGATAAAATATAAAATAGGAGTATTATAGAATATTTATTATAAGAATGATAAAGAAAATAGTAGAATAAATAAAAAAAAAAAAATAGTGAAATAAGTTTAAAAAATAGTAACAATTTGATTATTATTGACTAACTTAGGACTACTAATATCGTTGGTGTATAAAATTATTTACTATTAATAAATTATGGATAAATTTATCCAAAAAAGAATAGTTATATAATGTGATGGATGGAGGAGGATTATTATTATTTTTTTTTATTTGAATTTTTCATGTCACAAATTTAAACATACTATAATGAAGTTCAATTCACTAGGACTGACGCAAATCTACACTTACACTTTGATCAATCTTTACTTAAACACTCTAGAGTATAAGCGGAATGGGTTGGATGGTTCCTCCTCGAACACCTTTCCATCGGCCTAGCAATTCCTCGATACTCACGAGAAACTCGCTAGTACAACCTCACACATGACTCCATTGTAAGTTAGAAAGCAAAAACACTATAAGATGTACCCGACAAAGTAGAATATATATTAGCTCTTTGAAAGTAACAGTGAAGTACAACTGAGGGGTCATCTCCTATATATAGACATTCTAACATACCAGACCTAACATAGGCCAAAACATATCTACACTCGAATAGATTCTATCTATACAAGATACGCATAATGATAGCTAAATAAAGAAATATAGATAAACTAAGTCTAATGGATAAACACCAACTCGTTCGGAGGGCGATCTCGGAACTTCTAGAATATTCCGGAATATTCCAGAAGGTTCCGGAAGGTTCAAGAACGTCTCGAAGGATCTCCGCCAACCTCCCCGCGTTTGCACGCCGCAGGCCCTTCCTCGGCGACCTTCCGTATTTTCTTCGGCATTGCTCAGCCACTGTTTCGGTCCGGGACATCCTTCCCCGCTCAAACCAAACATTGCCCTCAATGCCTCAAAATCTCGGACAAGCTCCTCGAACTTCCATAAGTCTTTCGCAAGCTCCCAACTCATCTCGGAATCACGCAATTTGACCACGTACCCCGTCGATTGTGGTCTATTCTTGTGTCGAACAACCCTATCTGCAACAATCTCCTTGGCTACTTTGTCATACGCCGTCCGCATTCTTTGGGGTGCCCTTTGTCGACTCCTCCGGCTTGGATCTTGAACATTTTCGCGATATGGTTTTAATATACTGACGTGAAATATGGGGTAGAGTTGGGATAGGGCCTCCGGAAGCTCGACCTTGTTTGCCACCTCGCCAACCTTCTTCAGCATCGGGAATGGGCCTTCATATCTCCGCATCAAGCCCTTGTGCACTCCTCGAACACGGCCGTCTTGGTATAGCTTTACGAGCACCATGTCCCCTTCTCCGAATTCTCGAAACACCCTCTTCTTGTCGGCCCGCTTCTTCATTCTTTTTTGAGACTTCTCCAAGTAAAGTCAGGCCACTTCTGCATGATCTTGCCAACACTTGGGAAAGTGGAATGCTAGCAGGCTCGGACCTTTGTATGTTTCCACCAAATCCTTCGGCGCCATAGGCTGGAAACCAAGCACTATCTCGAATGGACCTTTTCCCGTACTCTCGTTCCTCTGCAAATTAAAGCAAAATTGCACAACATTATGGAGAGAGGCCCGATCCATTTGGCTTACCATGACATAGTGCCGCAGGTACACTTCAAGCACGTGATTGACACGCTCCGTTTGTCCATCGGTCTGGAGGTGCATCATCGTGGACATCTTCAACTCTGACCCCAATAACAAAAAAAACTCCATTTATACCCTTTCGGTGAACCGAGAGTCTCGATCTCTGATAATGTTTTTCGGTAAGCCCCAATTCTTGACGAGATGATCCATAAACAGCTTGGCCATCGTCTCTGCCATACACTTCTTCGGTGCGGGTATGAACTCCGCATACTTCGACAACTGATCCACCATCACAAGGATACTCGTACAACCCATGGACATTAGCAACCCGACAATAAAGTCCATAAAGATGCTCTCCCACATCTTCCCAGGTATCGGCAAGGGCCGCAACAATCTTGTGGGTGGTTGGTTCTCTACCTTAACCTGCTGATAGATAAGGCATGTCCCGACATATTCCTTCATGTCCCCCTTCATGCCCAGCCAATAGTAGCATTCTCGGAGGAGGGCCAAGGTCCTCTGGACGCCTGGGTGTCCGGCATACTTGGTGTCGTGACATTCTCACATGATATCTCTTCTCAATGGTGGTCGCTCTGGTGTTGGGCCCCCTTGTCCTCTACGATCTCTTCCGCCACCTTATCGCCTCTGTTCTGCACTGGGGTTGGGTATCTGTACCTGTACGTGAGGCTCCTATGCACTCCTCGAACACAACCAAGTCGGCGTGCCTTTATGAGGCCCACGTCTTCTTCTTTAGACTCTCAGAACATCTTCCTCTAGCCTGTCCACGTCTTCACTCATCGCCGAGACTTCTCCAGGTTGAATTCGATGCCTCCTACACGACTTCTCCAATTCTTGCTAAGGTGTATTATTGGCTGGCTTGGTCCCTCATATACTCCTACTAGCTTCTTCGGTATTACCGGCTGGAACTCAAACACTTTCTTGCAACTCAAAGCGTCTGTCACACCATTCATCCTTCCAAGTCGATGTTCGCTCTTGAACTCAGTCTCCGAGAGGAACACACACTGCTCTTCCTTAACATCTAGTAACCCATAAGGGGATGTTCGGTACGTAGACCGAGGGGCTGGTCTTGCTCCACTCACCAAGTTGACACCATGATTGATCGTCCTCCGAGGGTGTAACCACTTAGGCAGACCATCCCATGTGGTTTCCTCGACTCCCTCGAGGGCTTGCCCTAGGTCATTAGGCGGGCCTCCGACATCTCGCTCACAATCACTAGGGATGTCCTCGTCACTCCAAATAGCCGCTAGAGTCGAATCCCTTTCTCTCCGACCCTTCTTAATTTGTTTCGAGTTGGTCTCCCTCTTCCTATAAACCGTCACGTTACACAGTGTCTCACCTTCTGTGATTGTGAACCTTTGCTCATGCGGGATTATTATGGGCTTGACATGGTCCATGAAACTCATCCCTATAAATACCGCATACTCATCCATAGGAGCTATACTGAATAGTTCCATACCTCTTCAATCGCCGAGCTGGATGGGTAGGTCTCTTGCCACACCAGATATGGGAGTCCACCCACCATTGACTCATTTGAATCGCCCTCCAGAAGGTACCCACAGTAGGCCAATCCTACGGGCTAGTTTCTGCTCAAGTAGTTGTCTTTAGCGCCCGGGTCGAGCAAGCATGTCACCAACACTCCACCTATCCACGCTTTAACGAGCATCCTTCCTTTAAGGGTGTAAGCAGGGGCCACCTTTTTTTGTGCAGGCTACCCGACCTTCTGTCACCTCCGGCGGCACATCCAACACTACAATGCCTTATCGACTTGGAAAATTCCTAGCATAGTGATCCTTGCTCCTGCACTGCAGAAAAAACACCTATCATACGTTGGGTCTGGCCTTCTCGCATTCCCGACCCTAGCTGCGGATTGCTGCCAAGTCTCGCTAGTATCACTAGCCCATGGAGTCTATAAGGTTTGGTCTTCCCCACTTTTGCCTTGGTTAATCCTCCTTGATTTGTCGTCTTTATTTGGCTCTATTCGCTCAACCTCAAGTAACCATTGAGCGTACCTGATTGCTTCGTTGACGTTTGAAGGGAGCTTTTCTTTAATCCTCAACTTAGCTCACGGCCTTAGGCCATCTAAGAATGTCAACAACGTCTCCTTAAGGGACATATTTGGCACATCCAGCAATAGATCAGAGAACTTCTCGATGTACTCCTTCAAGTGACCCTCTCGATGCTCTAGCCGACGAATTGTACACCACGCCTTCTCCCCTGCATCGTCCGGTGCAAATTTTTCCTTAAGTTCACGCTTGAATATTCTCCAAGTCGTGATGCCTCCCTTATTTCTACGTATCCCCTCGTTCCGCCTCCACCAATTACGGGCCAAGCCTTTTAGGAACCTAGATGCCGTTCGAATTTTGGCTTCATCTCCCATGATGTCAGAATCCTCGAGGCATTTCTCCATATCATAGAGAAAATCATCCACAGCTCAAGCCTTCCGCTCGCCGGAATAACTCTCCGGGCACGGTATATTCCCTATTGGGGCTGTCAAGGCAACCCCGATCGGTCTCCTCGCCTAGAGTTCAGCTAGCGCCGCCCTCAACATTGCCAACTCCTCTTGGAAATTCGAAGGTTCTACAACATTTTCTTTCTCCAGCCTCGCGATCTGGACTTTGCACTCCACAACGATCTCCTTCAGAGTGACTACCTCGGCCTTCAGCACTTTGGTAAGCTCCATTGTCGTCAATTCCCATTTCCGAGACTCTTCATTCTCGGCATTGACCGAGGCCTGTATCCCATCGTCCAACTCACTGCCCTCGAGTTCACAGATACATTGC